TGCTGCTGCTGCTGCTGCTGCTGCTGCTGCTGCTGCTGCTGCTGCTGCTGCTGCTGCTGCTGCTGCTGCTGATGCTGCTGAAGCTGCTGCTGCTGCTGCTGCTGCTGCTGCTGCTGCTGCTGTGCGTTGCTGCTGCTGCTCGGGTTCCTCGCTGCTGCTGCTGCTCGTTGCATCTCCCCGCTGCGGCTGCCAGCGTGGCAGCACCCGCTGCTGCTGCTGCTCCTGAAACAGCCCCCCTGCTCTTGCTGCTGCTGCTGCTGCTGCTGCTGCTGCTGCTGCTGCTGCAGCTACCACCCCGGGGCCCCCACCTTCCGTGATGGCTGCAAGAGCTGGAGCTGCTGCGGCGGCAGAGCTTATGACTGGGACGACTTTTTGAAGCTGCCCACTTGCAAGACAGGTAGGGTTTAGGGTTTAGGGTTTAGGGTTTAGGGTTTGGGCTGCAGAGTCGGGAGTTGCGGGGCTGCAGCTGCAGCAGCAACGGCAGTGACGGCTGCAGCAGCAGCAGCAGCTGCTGCTGCTGCTGCTGCTGCAGCACGAACAAAGGGGCGGCGCTGTTCCACCGTCCCTCTCTGTGGCCGAGGGTTTTGGATTGGGGGTTTAGGGTTTGCCGTTTAGGGTTTAGGGTTTAGGGTTTGCTGCTGCTGATTGCGCACAGGCGCTCATGTCCCCAAGATGGTCGCCCCGCAATAAAAGCAGCGCATGCAGCAGCAGCAGCAGCAGCGAGAGCAGCAGCTGCTGCTGCAGCAGCAGCTGCTGCAGCAAGAGCAGCAGCAGGACTTGCTGCTGCTGCTGCAGCCAGTGCTGCAGCAGTAGAACGAACGACAGAGGCGGCAGCAAACGCTCCATTTCTTTTGTCCTCCAACACAGTCAATGCTTTAGGGTTTAGGGTTTAGGGTTTAGGGTTTAGGGTTTGGCTGCGTGGTGTGCTGGGGAGGACACAGGTTACGTCAATTGCAAATCCTCTTGCTGCTGCTGCTGCCGCTGCTGCTGCTGCTGCCGCTGCTGCTGCTGCTGCTGCTGCTGCTGTGTTGGTCTTAATGGCAGTGGGCGGCGTGCTAGTTGCCGTCAAGTCTCGCCTGCGCAAGCTAGGGTTTAGGGTTTAGGGTTTAGGGTTTAGGGTTTAGACTGGACCCTCTAAATTCTAAATGATTAAATGGTGCTTTCAAAGTTGCTGCGAGCGTTGGCTTTGAGCATAAGAAGATGCAGCAGCAGCTGCTGCTAATTGCTGCTGCTGCTGCTGCTGCTGCCGCCTCTGCGGCTGCTGATTGCAGCAGCTGCTGCTAATTGCTGCTGCTACTTCTAATTGCTGCCGCTGGGTGCAGCGGCTGCTGCCAATCGCTGCTGCTGCTGCTGCTGCTGCTGCTGCCGCTACTGCGGCTTCTGACTGCTGCTACTGCAGCCGCTGCTGCTGCTGCTGCTGCTGCTAACTAGCTCTTCTGCAGCTCTACTGCTGCTGTGTATGGTGCTGCTATTCCGGCTGCAACGGCTACTGCGGCTGCTGCTGCTGCAGCAGCAGCTGCTGCTGCTGCAGCAGCAGCTGCTGCTGCTGCAGCAGCAGCTGCTGTTACTGCAGCTGCTGCTACTGCAAGTACTGATGCAGCAGCTGCTACTAGTGCAGCTTCTGCTGCTGCTGCTGCTGATGCTGCTGCTGCTGTTGCTGCTGCAGTTACTCTGCAGATAGCGCACCCTCGGCGTCGCTCGCATCATATGCTGCCGCGGTGCCTAACTTCGTTAGCTGCTGCTGCAGGCCCCCCTTGCTGCTGCTGCTGCTGCTGCTGCTGCTGCTGCTGCTGCTGCCTGCGGCTATCCAGCACATCTGTAAAGAGCACTGCGGCACTGTGTGCCACCAGCTGTACCTGCAGCAGCAAGCAGCAGCAACCCCAGATGCCAAGTTCATTTTGCTGCTGCTAAGAAACCTAGGGTTTAGGGTTTAGGGTTTGGGATCTAGGGTTTAGGGTTTAGGGTTTAGGGTTTACAGTTGGGGTGGCTTCACTCTGGGGCCTGACAAAGGCGGAATTGCTGTGCCGCAAAACTCCCACAGAGCCGCAGGCAGATTTGCTGCTGCGGCTGAGAAGGTGGCAGTCGCTGCTGCTGCTGCTGCTGCTGCTGCTGCTGCTGCTGCTGCTACCGCTGCTGCAGTCCGGAGTAAGTGACCCGCAGTGGTGCGCTGCTGCTGCTGGAGTTGCTCTCCCTGCTGCTGCTGCTGCTGCTGCTTCTGCTGCTGCTGCTGCAGGCAGCGCCACCTTCTCAGAGGCACCCGCCAACGAAGGTGTGGCTGCCATGCAGTCTGCTGCTGCTGCTGCTGCTGCTGCTGCTGCTGGTGCTCTTGCTGCAGCTGCAGCGTTTGCTGCTGTTCTCAGTGTGCTAGAACGTGAAAGCGGCGTGTTGCTGTGGCTGTGCTCGCAGCAGCTCTGAAACCTGCTGCTGCTGCTGCTGCTGCTGCTGCTGCTGCTGCTGCTGCAGGCAGCGCAGCCGTAGAAAGACGAATCGAAATTGCATGTCTCCTTCTTGGGGTGCCATTGTTCTTGCTGCTGCTGCAGCTGCTGCTGCAGCTCCTGCTGCTGCTGCCGCTGCTGCAGCGGCGGCGGCAGCAAAACGTCATTGGGCACTCGGGAGCAGCAGCGCAGCGGCAGCGCCTGAGAGAAACTGGGGCTGCCACTCGGAGCTGCTGCTGCTGCTGCTGCTGCTGCTGAAAAAGTGGGAATGCTCCAGGGGTCTGCTGCAGCAGCATCAGCAGCAGCAAGTGACTCCCGTTCGCGGCAGCCCCTGCAGAAGCAGCAGCACCTGCGGCAGCTGCTGCTGCTCCCGCGCGTGCTGCAGCAGCAGCAGCTGCAGCGGCAGCAACTGCAGCACCTGTAGTCACCAAGGCTACTTGGTGGAGCAGCAGCAGCAGCAGCAGATGCTGCTGCTGCTGCAGGCGACAGTCTCCCAG